TTTATGTCATAGTAAAATTTCTTAAAATTACATAAGCAATTGTTATAATAAATGTAATATTTTTCAGCTAATTAATTTGTCATGATCAAAATTATAAAAAGTATATATTTATTACATTTTATGCAATCAATATAGTGATTCGTATACAATCAAATTGTGTGTACTATTTATTTTAACCAATGATCAAATTTTAAAATATAATACTATTATATAATTTATAATTTTAATATTATATACATAAATATAACTTATAATACTATATGCTTGAAATATAATACAATTATATAATTTATAATTTTTATATTATATACATAAATATAACTTATAATATTTAATTTTATTTACATCTGTGCAAATGCACAGAGTCGAATACTAGTATATATATATATATATATATAGATTAAAAACTGCTGAGTTTTAAAGATATTTAATTTAAGTTAATGAAGCGTTTTAGAATTTTTAAAGTCTATACTTATATAATAAGAATTAACATTTATCAAAATTAGTAACTTAATTAATGGTCAAAGTCAATTTTGCATTAATTACTTTCCAAAATTGGTAACTTTTATGTCCTTTTCACACTTCTCATTAATTATGTCCTTTTCACACTTCTAATTAATTATGTCCTTTTCACACTTCTCATTAATTATGTCCTTTTCACACATTTAATTAATTCATTAATTACGACATAGTTATCATAAATCATTCCATCTGAGCTTTTATCGTTAAAATGTATAGCGATATGTTATGACCTTATCTCATTGATATTTCCACGAAGTGTCCTTATCGCGTTCTATTTTTTGGTAACCACTCTATATCAATAACCGGATATTTGGTTAATGATAGCACACGTCTTTATTTCAAGGAGCGGATATTCTTTGACTTTTAATTAATCTGAACTGATTGCCTTGACTTTTCAATTTTTAAAAACTCTTTTGTTAAATATTTCGGCTTAAGATTCGGATTTCATTATACAAGTCATCGGATTGTTTGAATGAAAATGAATGAAAAGAACACAAAAAACAGGTAGCCTTATTCATATAACAAATCATAAAATATTAGTTTATTCACCAAAAAGAGACAAATCCTAGAAATCCTAAAATATTAGTTTCTTCACCAAAAATATTAGTTTAATTTTTAGGATTTGTCTCTTTTCAAAATATTAGTTTGTGATAATGAGGAGTTACCAAATAATCAAACTCATAATGTTGTGTACAAGGAGGTTTTTAACAATATATGATTGTTACCGAACTTTTTATGATTCAACAATGTTCCTATGTATTTTAATGATTTCAATTTCGATCCTAATGCACATGAGGTTATATTATTTTTCTAAATTTTACATCTCGTGCATCGCACGGGTTACGTACTAGTTTGAATAAAATGAAATTTTACAATAACCTAATCCAAAAATATCAAAATTAATACTTTATATATAAATGTGATATTAATATTTTTGTAAATTTCTACGATGACTATTTCAGGTAGTTTATTTCCAAGCTGATCTTCAGCACACATTCCTCAAATCCCCATAATATTATTTTCAATTTCATGAACGCGTCCAACAGCCTATCAAATTTACATTATTGAATTCTTGGATTGCCTTTTATACCTATCCACAAAAATCTCAATAGATTTTGTGCTAATTCAAACTTTATCTAATCATATTTTCTGATGAAGAATGTATGTACTCAATTTTATCAGCAAAATTTATTTTAAAAGATTTGATATTTATGACCTAAATCAAAATCCAATGTGAGATACATTGTACTAAACAAAATCTAGTTCTACTTTTGTTGCTTTTTCTTGTTTTGTAAATTCCATGGATTTGCATAATGAACACGATACTGGACCCAGCCCAAACCCATCAACGAACAATATTATCGGGCCGAACGTTGAAATGGCCCGATTAGATTCCTTTGCAGTCACCTTACGACGTCGTCTTGCTACTGAAAACTTCATGTAAATTTACCATAATAAATTTCAAGGCAAGAAAAATAAAGCCATTTGACACACACACAGAGAGGGTGAGAGAGGGAGAGAGAAAGAAAAGACGCAGAAAAAATAAAAGAAAAATGAAAATCTCCATTGTCACCGATATGTCCGAAGACGAAATCCTCAAGACGGGAGCTTTGGCACTTGTCTGATTGTATACGATCTGATCTGGTTTGCCCATTTGTACAGTTCATACATGCAAGCATTGGTTGTTTTTTATTTTTTACGATTTTTTCCCAAAAAAATTCGGCTGCTATGAAGCAAAATGGGTGAAAGAAAGGGCCTTTCATTTTCTTTTTTCTTTTTTATTTTTTATTTTTTATTCTATTAAAGGTGAATCAATGACTTTACTGGGGTTTTCTTGTATCTGAGTTTTTGCTTTCCAAATTGTAATTTTAAGGTTTTGTTGTAAGAATTAGGGCTTCTGTAAGTGAAACATGTGAAATTGTTCGCTAGGGCTAGTGAATTTTTTATGGTGTTCCTCCTCTGTATGAAAGTTTGGTGTTGTCCCTTTTTATGCTTTGGAATAAGAGGGGAGGATTGTGCTGCCTGTAGTAATTTATATATATAGCTTTAATTGTTCTAATAAGGGGAAGAAGGTGGATTTGTGGAGTGAGAGTGTAGAAATGGAGAATGACGATGAATTAGGGTTTTTGGACGATCTTGATCGATTTGGTGATATTGGTGACGATGACGATGACGATGATTTTGAACTACTGTTTTTTGGTGGGGGAGCAAGTGGGAGCCGGAGTAGAAATGAAAAAACCGATCTTGCTGCTGAAATCTGTGGGGGAAGTAATAAAATTTCCCAGTGGATAAACGACATGAAGTCGAAATATGCCGATAGTAGTATTAATGGAAGTCGTGGGGCGAATGTGGATGTTAATTTGAATTCAGGTTTGGCTGCGGAGTCTTCGTCCTCAACATCGTCAGTAGCAAGAGAGAATAATGATCGTGATACACAGAATAAACGACCCAAAGTTCATTCTTCTTCCCTGTGAGCTCTAGCTCCTTAACTTATTATGTGCTATGTGTGTGTGTATGCATGCATTGTTGCATGTGCAGCTTTTTATGTGACTGCTATATTTTTTTTGAATTCGAATCTATATTGGGATATATGTAATCTACTTGTCGGTTATGTTCACCACGTGGAGTCTTTCCAGATCGGCTATTGATCTTGGGCCTTGATTGAATATTCGTGTCTATTTCATCAAATGTTATTTTTGTGATTGTGGGCCCAATCTGTTTGGTCTATTGAATGTAGTCTTGTCGATTTGATTGTAAGTTTGCAGTTATAAAGCCGAATGGCGAGTCATGGTGATTGGCTCACTGCCTCGCCTTTGGCCAGGTGGCGAGTCCATGATTCTGCCTTTTGAATATGAGGAAACAGATGAGGAAAGCTAAATAAATAAATGAAAATGTGTCCACGACATCGTTTTGGATATATTGATTCCAAATATACATTTTATTTAGCATTATTTAACAGTATGCACGTGTCAGTTATACCAATCATTATCTTTTTGATGATATGGAATTGATTTCATTTGCCCCTCGTGTCCGTAATCCCATTCCATCGCTCCCTTTTTAGTTTAGGAAATGTGATGTTTAATTTATATCCCTGTCATTATATTGTGAATTATTTGTCTACTTTGTGGAATTTTGATATTTCAATTGCGTGTAAGAAAAAAGGTCCAGTAAAAAAAGCCCCAATTCATGATTTATTTATGGAAGAAGAAGAATAAGAAGAAGAAGAAGAGCAATTTAGTCAAGAAGATATTATATCTTTATGATGTTATAATAAATCCAATGGAAAAGCTTGATCATTGTCTTAATTTTGTTATCTTATCCAGGGATTTGGGCACTAATTCGGATAATGAAACTCATAATATTGCTCCTCGGCACGAGGTTGTTAATAATCATAATGTGCCCGTTTCTCTTGTTCCTGGAGAGCATTCTTGGAGCATTGATAATTCGACCATGGATGATTCCGTTGTTCGGATGGATCTTACTGACGATTTGTTGCATATGGTAGGTATTATATATGACGCATATTCACCGAATTTCTTGTAATCAGTTTTAGAGAACAAAACTTATCTTGACATTGACCTCTTATGTAGATTCTCGGTTTCTTGGGCCACATCGATCTTTGCCGAGCGGCAAGAGTTTGCAGGCAGTGGAGAACTGCGAGTTCTCATGAAGATTTCTGGCGGTACTTGAATTTTGAGAATCGATACATATCTCCTCAGCAATGTGCGTATAACATTACTTTCGCTCCTCCATTTTGTTCAAAAGCTTCATTTTTAAATATCATACTCTATGTATCGGCGTTGTCTGCGGTTTGACCTAACTATTCATAAAGAAATGTTAGTTCTTCAACTTATCAGTTAGAGTACTTTAACTCTCTCTGTTTTCTGTTCCCATTAACAAGTCATAGCAGTTTAAGCTGGCCTGTGTAAGCTGAACATAGTTTTAATGGTTTTGATGGAGTTTTTGCTCAGGAAACATTGTCAAAATTCTCACTATAGAATCTTTTTCTGCCACAATGTATGAGTGCTTATGTAAATTTTCAAAATATATGTTGTTCGCTCGCTGCTAATTTTTCAATTAGCTTTCACATATAATCACAATTTTATTGGGAGAACATATTAGTGTCTTTAGTACAATATTATTTATCTTTACAAGAAAACTAACTTTGGCTGGTTGTTTTGAGCTTTAGTTGAGGACATGTGTCTGCGATACCCAAATGCAACTGCAGTAAATGTTTATGGCACTCCTGCTATCCACCCCATTGTGATGAAAGCTGTCTCTTTGTTGAGGTAAATTTGATTTAACCATATTTTATTCACGATTTTGTAATGGCGTGATACTATATTCTCGTTGGGCCTTAGGAATCTTGAGGTTTTAACCCTGGGCAAAGGCCAGTTAGGAGAGATTTTCTTCCAAGCCTTGACGAATTGCCAGATGTTGAGGAGTTTGACAGTCAATGATGCTACTTTGGGTAATGGCATTCAAGAAATTCCCATTTATAACGAGAGATTGCGTGATCTTCAAATAGTGAAATGTCGCGTGCTCCGCATCTCTATCAGGTGCAAGATCCTTAGAGCCCTGTTTGACATAATTTTATATTTAAATTATATTATTAATTATTATTATTTTACTATATTTTTTTTCAGGTGCCCCCAGCTTGAAACTTTGTCTCTCAAACGCAGTAGTATGCCCCATGCAGTTCTTAATTGCCCCCTTTTGCGGGAGCTTGATATCGCTTCATGCCACAAGCTTACAGATGCCGCAATCCGTTCGGCAGCAACATCATGCCCACTCTTGGAATCCTTAGATATGTCCAATTGTTCGTCTGTCACTGATGAGACACTTCGAGAAATAGCTTCGACTTGTGGGAATCTCCAAATTCTTGATGCTTCATACTGCCCCAACATCTCTCTGGAAGTAAGATCTCTCTCTCTCTCTCTCTCTCTCTCTCTCTCTCACCCTCTCACCCTCTCTTCCTTTTTGTGTGTGTGTGTCTTTTCAATTTTTTACGTATCTATTTTCTTTCAATATATTTATATATTCGAATTGCTATCTAACATATCATTACCTTTTGAAGTCTGTGAGAATGCAGATGTTGACAGTTCTTAAGCTTCACAGCTGTGAGGGTATAACGTCAGCTTCGATGGTTGCCATAGCCTCTAGTGATATGCTTGAGGTTTGATAACTTCTCTTGAATAATTCTTCATTTGATAGTTGTCATTATAATAAGATTCTTCATACTGGTTAACATATGTTGCCTGTTATTACCTACCCATTTACTGTAGGTTCTCGAGCTTCACAACTGCAGTTTGTTAACGACAGTATCTTTAGATCTGCCGCGCCTGAAGAACATAAGGCTTGTACACTGTCGGAAGTATGTCTTTCTGTTTCTCTTTTAGCCCTGACATCTGTCCCTTTTTGCTCAACTTATTAATTTATTTTCAATTTTGTAGATTCGTGGACTTGAGTTTAAGAAGCAGTGTACTGTCATCAATTACAGTTTCCAATTGCCCTTCTCTCAGGCATATCAGCATTACATCAAATGCACTTACCGTATGTGGTTTATTCATTTTTTTTTTGTTCCACGACAAATTGTGATGATTTCACTTAATGAGTTTCTTTGATTATGTGGACCATGTTATCCTTTACATTTATACTGAATTTACTTGCAGAAACTAGTTTTGCAAAAGCAAGAGAGCTTGACGACCTTAGCACTGCAGTGTCCTTGCTTGCAAGAAGTTGACCTTAGTGAATGTGAATCTTTGACAAATTCCATATGTGAAGTTTTCAGTGATGGCGGAGGCTGTCCAGTTTTGAGATCATTAGTACTTGATAATTGCGAGGTTTGTCACCATAATTTTTAGCCTAAATTTGTGGTGTCCTCTGATTCAATTCCACTGATTTCTGAAAGTTAATTATGATTAGATTTTTTTTTTTTTTAATTTTTTTTTTTTTTTTTGTTGTTGTTGTTGTTTGAATTGTATATTATGGTGTACATTTCAGGAAGATTGTGATTGTACTCGGTAAATTCTTGAGTACTGAAACAATGTGATGTCTGTGCTCTAGATATGTATGACAAATTGATGATGTTATGGTTCTTTTTTTCAGTTTCATCAGAATTCATAGAAGGGGCTCCTGCAACACTGAGATCTTTAAGAAATAATGTTACTATTTTTGGATTCAACACTATATCTTGTTATTAAATCCGAGCTTAGTCCATAGATTGATATTGATGGGTGTTATATAATATCATACTTTCATCTGATTATTGCTGTTACTCTTTCTCAGAGCTTGACAACAGTGAGTTTCACCAGCACGTCCATGGTTAGTCTGTCACTTGGTGGTTGTCGTGCAATATATACTCTTGAACTAAAATGCCCCTACCTCGAATATGTCTCATTAGATGGCTGTGACCATCTTGAGAGAGCATCATTTGCATTTGTAAGTCATCCATTCATTGATCACTTGTTCCTTTCTCTGGTATTGAGATTGAATTTATTTATATTTAATGTCTGTCTTATAGTCATAAATCTAAAACCTTTTCCAAAATAGAACCACCGAATTGAGTTTTGGATAATTGCTCCTTTTACTGAAATTGTGATGGTTGCATTTTCTGAACCATATTTTGCGAATATATTGCTCATTTATTTTCCACTCACTTGATTGTATTTTACTCAAATCTGTTGCAGATTGGCCTTAAGTCCTTAAATATGGGCATATGCCCCAAACTGAATGTGCTCCATGTGGAAGCTCCATTGATGGTTTCACTCGAATTAAAGGGTTGTGGTGTGCTGTCTGAAGCATATATCCATTGCCCGCTTTTGACATCTTTGGATGCTTCGTTTTGCGGGTGTGATTTGCTTATCAGTTAAATTTCATATTCAATTTTTTTTGTCCAGATTATAGAAAATGCTATTTCACTGTCAATATTGTGTTTGGTGTGTGCAGCGTTCTGAAGGATCATTGCTTATCTGCAACAGCCTCTTCATGTCCGCTTATTGAGTCATTGGTGTTAATGTCGTGCCACTTAGTGGGTGCTAATGGGCTCTCGTCATTAAACTGCCTTTCCAACTTGACCTATTTGGATCTATCCTACACATTTTTAGTTAACCTGCAACCTGTTTTCGACTCCTGTTTGCGTCTGAAGGTATTTCACTTCCTTTTCATACTATGAATATATCTTCTTACAAGTATATTTGGACCAAGGACATCTAGGAACACTGTTGCAATTCCCTTCTTGTTTTTATTTCTTTTTGGAGGATTTGAAAACCATTCAAATTTAAGTATTTTGAAATCCATCATTTTTAGTTAAATAGTTCTTACATACACAATTACAACTATTTTCCCGTCACACAAAATTATTTAGGGCTCGCTAATTTTCAAAATAATCCATCCAAAATGAGTTATTTTGGTTAACCAAAGTTAATTTTAAAAAGGTGGTATGGTTAGTTGTTAGTGGGATTTTAAGAATATATTAAAATAATATTTAAGTAAAATGATTAAAATTTATTCAATGTAAAAGTAGGAAATAAATGATTGGAAATGATAGGTAGTTAAAATTATGTGAGTGGATGAATAGTGAATTAAAGTTGATGTGATGTGTAATAATGATTGGATTGTATTATTTAATTATTATGAATAATATTAAAGATAGTGGGGTTGAGTTAAAATTGAGTAAGAATTGAATGTGAGTGAAATAATTTATAAACAAGCATGCCCTTAGCATAGATGTTTGACACGAAGACACTTCTCACGTTTCACAGACAAATGCATTACACAAACTACACACCAACAATTCATAAATACTGCACTTCAGAAAAAACCACAAGAATGAGATAAACGGACTTTAATCCAAACACAACTTTATTTATTTTCTGTTGTGTTCACTTGTGATCTGTACTTTTATAGGTTCTGAAATTGCAAGCATGCAAGTATGTTAGTGACACATCACTTGAGCCTCTCTACAAAGGCGGTGCTCTCCCGGCCCTCACTGAGCTCGACTTATCCTATGGTTCTCTATCCCAGTCAGCAATAGAAGAGCTGCTAGCTGGCTGCATGCACTTAACTCACGTCAGCTTAAATGGCTGTGCCAACTTGCATGACCTGGACTGGAGTTTTCATCGCCAGGTGTTATTTGGCTCTTCTTCTAGTGGCACTCTCGACGAGCAACGTAATCGCATGCTTCAGAATCTCAACTGTGTTGGTTGTCAAAAGATTAAGAAAGTGGTTATTCCTTATTCTGCGAGATGTGTCCATTTATCGTCCTTGAACCTTTCCTTGTCTTTAAACCTGAAGGAAGTTGATATATCATGTTCCAATTTGTACTTTCTGAACTTGAGGTATGCATCTATGATCTTATCCCAATTTCTGTTATTTTCTTGCTTCTGATTTTGTAGCAGCGATTTTTTTTTTCTTATCTGGTCTTGATCTTGGTCTTGTGTTGTTTGATCAGCAATTGTACTTCGCTGGAAATTCTGAAGCTTGATTGTCCAAGATTGACCAGTCTTTTCCTTCAGGTAATGTTCTTTTAGTGTTGTTACTGCTCATGTGCTGATAATTGTTGAGGGGAAATGCTCACATTTAGTGGATTTTGGTCAATTCTGTGTCAATATTTTTTTTTTTTTTTTAATTTTTTAACTAAAATGAAGTTTAACTGAAGATGTAAATTCTAGGTATTTCATGTTTTCATATGTTGTATAGGTGTCATGGTGAGAACAGTTAATTATTTGGTGCTTAATGTCCTTCTCAAATGTGAATATTTTCTGTCAGTGAAACTTAAAAAACCTAGTCTAACTGCAAAGTTCTGTTGTCTGATTCATAATTTTTGTCCTTTACCTAAGCTGAGCGTAACGTTCTGTTTTCCGATTCATAAGTTTAAAGTTTGAGTGATTGCGTCCTCATGAAAGATAATTTAGTAGCAAATTTAATGCTTTCACTCGATGTGCCTAACCTTTAGCTGTTTGCTTTGATCTTGTCTATGCATATATGGTGTCTGTATACCAGTCTTGTAATATTGATGGGGAGGTCGTTGAAGTTGCCATAAAGAATTGCACCATGCTCGAGACACTCGACGTCCGTTTTTGCCCCAAGGTGACTAATACCATGCTTTTTATCCACTGGACACTTTTTAACTCACACAATTTGTTTTTAAAGCCATTGAATAAATTGGAGATATGGATTTTATTTCCACTTGACAGATACTTCCATCGAGCATGGGCATGTTACGTGCAGCATGCCCGAGTTTGAAACGGATATTTAGCAGCCTTGTGGCGGCATGATGTGAAACAGGGTTAAAAATGTCAGGGTGAGCTTGGTTTGAATCTTATATTCCAAAGCAGCATGGCAGTAGTTACTTCTGCTGCTCTACTGTACATACGAAAAGTTATGTGGTTTTATAGAAAAGTTTCTGTGTACTTTCTGTTGTGATGACGACATGTTTGTTCGTAACCCTTAAACCTAGAGTTTCCTAAATCGTGCCGAAGCATGATTTGGTTGAGTATGTACTTTACTTTGTTTTTTTTTTTCCGAGATACCGAAGCCAATGATGNTGAAATAAATTTGGAATGTTATGCTGCATGAGTTCCAAGGGATTCATTATTTGTTGGTATGTAATTACAGTAGTGATTTCAACTGCTTTAATTGAGGGTCCAAGTTTTCGGGGAGACCAAGTATGCGTCGGCCATGGCCTTCGCCTTGTTCAGCATTTCGTTGGAACGGTTCTGTGAATGAAGCGAAAATAAAGCAGTTGAAATCACTTCTGTTTAAATGGTGTGTGGGTGGGTCGGTGGGGTGGGAACTTCCGGTTCATGTTGTTTTAAGGTTGATTACATAATTTTTTTAATATTGTGTTATTCATTTCTTGTCCGGAGCTGGAAGAGTCATTGTTGACAATTCTCCTGGCATAGTATTAATTATGGACTAGATCAAAATGACTCAATTAAATTCTAGTGCTTCTTCTATTATTGAAGTTTTTAGAAAAAAAAATATATCAAACGGCGCAATACACCTTGGGTCGATACGGAAACAGCTTCCTTGTATAATTACTGAAGTAGGATGCCCTTTGGCGCGTCCGGCCTCGCCGATAGGACGCCCTTTGGCGCGTCCGACCTCGCCGGTTGGACGCCTTTTGGCGCGTACTACCGGGCTGGTTGGACGCGCGAAAAAAATATTTTTTTTAAAAAAAAAAATACATTGTCAATCTTCAAATTTTTTCGGCATTTTTTCGGCATTTTTTCGAATTTTTTTTTACGGTCAAAAGAACCGTAGAAAATCAGGGAAAGAGTAGAGAGATAGAGTAGAGACAGAGTGAAGGGCAAAAACGTAATTAGGAGGGCGGTGAGTAGTAATAGGGGGGCGGTGAATAGTAATGCCCATTTGAAATCACAATAGACATGAAAAACAATTGTCGTTAATGTGCATTCTTGCATGCCTTTCTTTGCAATGAAAGTATCAAAACAAGGTCAGCACCAAATCTCCAGTTATAAGCTGCATAAACGGCCTATAGCAACACAAAAGTATTACTCAAGACCATTTGATAATCAATAAAGCGAGACTCGACTAAAATGAGAGGGAAGGTGTAATTGAGATAGTTCCATATAAGATATTTGGCTTTGGAGGATAAATTTCTAAAGAAAAGCGGCCAGAATAAGTTCCTCATGAAGAAACGATTATTCCGATTTGAGTAGGGCCTGACGAGGTTGCTGCATGAACTGAGACAAAGTATAAACTACATATGCAGGAACTCTAAGGAAAACGAGAAATGCGGCTCACCAAACTGCAATTGTCGAAGTAAACATCCCCACCATCTACTCGACTGAAGCAAGTCGTGGGATATTTTTTATTATAAAATATAATCCTTGTGTATCTAAATTAGTTCATTTACTTTTCTTAGTTGTTTCCCTAGGTTAGATATTAATATTTGTTTGATTATAGTTCTCATGTAATCTTGATTTGTAGGCCTTATTTAGCTCTTTGTATTCCTCTATATAAGTAATACAATAGCACAAGAAAAGATGTTCAATTTAATAACACCAAACAAGAGGTACCGACGATCAACAAATAGTAACAAATTCACTAATAATAAATAATATGGATATAAACAAGTACACATTCATGCACAACTTTTCTCTTCTGAGATACAAAATTGCATTCTTTTCACATATCTTTCAGTTTAGTGTGAGGGTGAATGTTTTGCCCATCTTCTAGCAATATTGACCAAGAGCTTCATGATCGTATAGCTTTTATGTTATATTTTACTCAAAGCAATGCAAAAGTTACTAATGTGAGCAATTACTAGACCATGTATAAAAGTGTCATTGATGATAAGCCAACCAATCAGGACATCATCTCAAGTGTTATATGATACGAATAAGATATGCGATGCTGAAATCCACATATTCTTTAGTAAGTTAACAATTCATTATATGTTATAATGTGACGATCCAAGACAGTCAAGTTGAAGATGTCGGGTTATGTTCAATGGAGAATAAGGCCAAGAAAAGCAAAAGAGACTGCGGTTATTCTCGACATCCACATCCAGTCCTCTCAAATCAATCCAACCGTCATCTCAAATCGATCCAAGAATATCAACAACATTCAAGAAGAGAAGAATTAAAGTCCAAATCCGTTTCGAAATATCTAAATACAAATGCACGAAGAGAAGAATTAAAGGGATTCTATATAGAAACACGTTCAAGAGATATTCAAGTCCAAATTCTAAGATCTAACTACATGTCCACGAACATAAGAAGAATTAAAGGCTTCATATAGAGACTGTACTCGCATATCATTTTATCAAAATAAAATCAAGTTGTATAAAAGTTTATGTACCGCATATCGTTTGAACGAAATAAAATTAATTTTTGTAAAGGATTTTTTAAAGTTTTTGATGGCTTTCATAACATTCATCTGTTACAGTGGGGAATCTGAGTTTGGAATTTTCTAGGCTGGTTGAGTTCCAGATAGGGAATTTTCTGACGGGAAGGGAATGCTTTACAGTGGGGAATTTTCTTGAAGGATTCTGAATATTCTTGAAGGGGATTATGGTGAATGAGGGTCAATTTTCTTGAAGGATTCTGAATATTCTTGAAGGGGATTATGGTGAATGAGGGTCAGATACAATGACAATGTTCTTGAAGGGATTCTGGCGAATGAGAGATGAAGTAGGAAATGAGAGATGAAGTAGGAAATGTTCTTGAAGGGGATTATGGCGAATGAGGACAGGGACATTAATTTTTGAACTTAAAATTCGTCGTCTACTCTCATGACTTTGGGTTTTTTCTTCGTAAGCTGAAATTCCTTTATTCTATCACCTCCGAATCGCATACTCAAACGTAAACAATAAAATAAAAAAGATACTAATTATATGAACCATCTATATATATATATAATAAGAATTAACATTTACAAAAAATAGTAGCAAAAAAATAGGTCAAAATTTAATGCAACCTATAAATAGTAAGTCTCATTATTTTTCTTATTTTTTTCTTTAAAAATCATACAGCATTAAATGCTACCTTAATATTGGGCTTTAGTTCATTTTATTATTTATAAAATCCAGAAAGATTTATTAAGTGTGTAAGTTTTTATTTTTATTTTTTTTCTTAGAAACAACGAACAACATTAAAATCTCAATTCAAAATATAACAAAAACTTTAAAATCTCAGTCTTTATATTTGTGCCTTTAAAAAAATATTGAAAGCTAAAAATATTCTTTAAATTGAATAATCAATCAATTAATCTTAATTTTTTAAAAATTACTATGTTTATTTTGTATTAATATGCATAAAGTAAAATAATTTATTCATCTTTAGATATATAATTTATAATCTTAATATACTATCATTTGGTGTAGATATTTATTATATGAATCATAAAATATTTTTATTTCATAAATTTAAAAATATGTAAAGAAAATAAGAAAATTTCTTTGGATCAATCGGGTGATTGAACTAGGGTACTGCCCAGGTTGATTGAATTACTTTTAGGTGATATTTAAAATTGTCAAAAAAAACTTTACACAACTTGGTTGGTCCCAGGTGACTAAGTTATGTATTTGTTCGACCACACAAAATCGATTATTGAACCTAAATATAAATTTTATATTAAAAATATTTCATTACGTGATGTAGTCCAAACTTCAAATAATCTTATTAACAATACTTTTATTACAACATGTTTAATGATTTATGAATATTTAGATATCATTTTATTAATATTTATGTGAATTAAATAATATTTTATTATAATATTTATCAATATACATTAAATATAAGGTTTTCAGAACTGGACCGTCATCGAAACGATCAACTTATTTTATTAAATCACTTGTGGTTTGTTCATATTTTAATTTATAAACATTTTAATATATGTATATAGTACTTTTTGTAATAAATTTAAATAAAATGTGTTACTTAGATATCTAAACAATTTATAAATTCAAATGTTTAAAGTAATTGATAAATAATTTATAAATCTCTATTTTATTTAAATATGTAATTTTATTTAAAATAATTTTAAATATAACAAAATTTATTTAGAAAATCGATCCTACCAGTCCAACCGACTGGTGTTGACGGATTCGAGAGCAAATATTTTATTCAAGCGAACTAGACTGGTTATAAACCGGTTCTCGGTCCATCCGGTCGGACTGTGTCCAACCCGGTTTAATTTAAAAACAATGGATAAATCATAATTAATGTTATTTATATATTTAATTTATAATACAATCGTAATATTGTTTTCTCGTGCATCGCACGGGCCACGCACTAGTTTAATTAGTAAAAGGTATCCATAAAAATATTATGTACCAATAAATTAAATAATAATAATAATAAATATTAAAATTTTGATAAACATTATTTGTCTTACGTAATGAAACAAATTAGTTATAATTTGAAAGTTTGGTTTATATATACCTAAAATGTAATATAGATAATAGATCTATTAATTATGAAAATACTTTTAAAACATTCTTTAAAAAATGAGAGTATACTAATAATTTGTTAAAAAGATCAAACATAATCATCTTTCTAGAATATTTCAAGAAAAAGAAAATAAACTCTACATGCTTGAAATTAAAAAAGAAAATTAAAAATCATTAATACTGCCAACTAAATTCATTAGTTTATTAGGCATGAGGTTATTCAATAACTATCAAAAGAGAATAACTATAGTTATTCAATAACTATCGTAAATAAGCCAATATTTTTTATATGTATGAATTATGAATCTACAGTAAGTTTATTATCTATCGTTCAAATCGAATATATAAAATAATTAGTTTAATTTGAATATAAAATAATAATAGGTCTAATGTGTGAAGTTGTAAAATATATTGGTAGTATTGAAACATGTATAAAGTTGATAGCAAAGACAATATATGAGAATATTTTTTTTGTTCGAGTATGAGTTGTGGGTTGTAGAAGAACTATAGTTTGATATGACAGTTACTACGAAATGAGTGAGAATGGGTTTTTCCATGAAGGAATACTTTTTAGTTCTTGTCTGGAGTTCTGATATAACATTGGGGAAGAGTGAGCTGAGGGTGT